GGCTAATAGTGTCAGAATGGCCGATCTTGAAAACCGCCTGCGACGCAACAATGTGCGTATTGTAGGCCTGCCTGAACGTACCGGGGATGGTAATCCCACGCAATTTATCAAATCTTGGTCACTTGAGCTTTTTGGCAAAGAAGCATTTTCTCTCTTTTTGCAGTAGAAAGGGCACACCGTACCCCTACTCGACCATTGCAGGCTGGACAACCACCCAGGCCTGTCCTGGCACGTCTACTCAATTACAAGGATCATGAAATCATTCTGTGTCTTGCAAGGGAGCGTGCCGATATTCAATTTAATGGGGCCAACATTTCCTTTCACCCTGATTTTTCTGCGGAGGTGCAACGCAAGCGGGTCAAATTTCTTGAGATTAAAGGCCGCCTCCGGAACCTTCAAATGACATATGCTATCCTGTATCCCGCCCGACTGAAAATCATTGCCAGTAATCAATCACACTTTTTTTACTCTGCTGCCGCAGCCTCAGGTTGGATGGACACGCATGAAGCTCAACTGTGTCGTCTCCCACGTAATGCTGACGATTAATTCCTGCTACTATAATCCTACTATTATGTGGGATATGCTTTGTTCCTATCTCACCGGGAAGTGACATTTCTGGACTGACGCAATTTTTAGCTTTGATTCTGTTTGCTGTCACAGTGTGTGCTCATGTTACTCGCTGAGTGACAGTTACCATTATCCGAGGTCATTTACTCGCACTTGGGGGCTGGTTGCCTGACCCGAGGGGATATGCGAGCTATGGGTTCATTGATTGTTTTTTGGATTTATTTTGTTAGGCACTGTTGTGCCTCAGTTATGTTTGACCTTTCCAGTCTCTTTTTTCAGTGCTCAGTGCCCTATAGGCCATTTTTATTTTAAAAGTCATGTAGTGTTCCGCACAGTGGAGTATGCCCCTTGTCTATTGTGGGGGAGCCAGGGGGAACTTGCTTTGGACTTCCCCTTATCAACCATCCTCCTTTCTCTGACCCATTTACTTTGTTATGGAGAGCATCTCGTTGATTTCATGAAACATTAGAGGCCTCAATGACCCCTTAAAGAAGATTGATATCGACCATACTATGCAAGCATCATCCTGTTATCTGTGGCCTACAGGAAACTCATCTCACTGTGTACACTTTGGCTTTGGCACGGTTTCCTTGGGCTGGGCGTGTGTATCACTCCGCCTATTCCCACGGGGTGTGTGTGTTGATACACAGGGTCATACCTTAACGAGAGTTGGCATGTGAAACTGACCCCGAGGGTAGATTTGTATTCTTGTTTTGCATGATATATTCTGTTACCCATGTGTTAGCAGTGATTTATGTGCCACCACCCTTTTCCACTACTATTCTGAGGCGACTTGTGGAATTTTTGCTGGACAAGCCTAATGTACTGTTATTTGTATTAGGTGATTTCAATGGGTACCTGGATCTTATTTTGGATAAGCATCCCCCTGCTGTTGCAGGCTCCCAGGCTCGGGGGACTGCCCATAGTCTTTTTTTGTCTGAGGTGGGCTGAGTGGATTACTGGCGCATGCAGTACCTGTCAGTTCTCCCGTTTCTCCAAAACTCATGGTTCCCTGTCCCGAATAGATTTGTGTGTAGGCAACTCCTTAGCGCGTTCCTTTGTCAAGACAATTACCTACAGCCCAAGAAGTGTGTCTGACCATTCCCCCTTGGTGATCCAACTCCGTATTGGTCCTGGGTCATCCCTCCCTAATGCTTCTCTTCATGTTCTCAAGGCTGTGTTTATGCTGGTGTTGATAGTTTTGCCCTGCAAAAACGCTGCAAACTGTGCAACCAAATCAATCCATCAAAAAGTGTCAGACACTCAAAAGGGATCTTCAATATCTCCGGATCATACAGCTGCACCTCCAGTAATGTTGTGTACCTTATCCAGTGCTGAAAATGCAGCAAAGGATCTTATGTTGGCGAAAACAGGACAGAAGTTGCAAACAAGGATGAATTTGCACAGACATACCATCAAGGAACATAGAGAAGATGACCTCTGCACACCTGTAGGACACCATTTCACACAACCAGGCCACACAATGGGAGACCTCAATGTTTTAGTTCTGAAAGGAAAATTCAAATCCATTCAGGAAAGAAAAACTTTTGAACTAAGAATGATAATTCTATTTGACACAAGAGATAACGGCCTTAATTTGGACATGGGATTCCTCACTCATTATCCAACAGTTTTATGACTATTCGCTAACTTGACTCCCTCTGTGTGAGTGTAGTATCCCCCCCCCTCCCCCCCTCCTTTTGCTGTATCTTATCTGTTTTTTTTTTTTTTTTTTCATCCCTTTTAACATTCTGCTTAAACTTTGTGATTTGTAATAGTACTGCTTGGACTTTGAAGAAGGGGACATACCCCGAAAGCTTGTCCACAAAATTGTATGTTAGTGCAAATAAAAAAAGTATCACGGACAGTAATCAATTGTTCCTGAACATCCCTGTAATGCAGTTAGAGACCAGTGGTGGTGCCGGAGTCATCCCTGTATAGCTGTCCAAAGCCAGTGGTGTTTTCCTTGTCTCCATACCATGATTTTTGCTGATGGAAGTTGTCCATACCTGTGGAGGAGGCTGGATATATTTCTATGCACATTTAATATGCGCTTCTGGTGAGTGCATTCATATAGCATTATCAAGCACGGAGTCACTTTCATCCGTTCATCACGGAGATTTCTGGGATGTTTTGATATTCATCCGAATTATCTCATCCATTTATTTTATAGTGGACTGTTCACCATTGTCACTTATTTATATTTATTTCCAAATATCACTTACTCGCTGATATTCTGCAGGACACTCATGCAATATTATTCACTTCAGCGCCATTTCAGCGCCTTCACTTTGAGTATGTCACTTTATTCATTAGCATTTTTGTTTTCTAATCTAATGATCTTTCCTCTGACCCTTTACTTATTTGGGATGCATTTAAAGCTTTTCTCAGAGGAGTATTCCTATCTGAAATCTCTCCAATTAAAACTAAAACAAGGAAATTTGAGGGTCCGATTACTCATCAGGCGCAGCTAATGGAGTGTGCTTAGATAGACAACCCCACTAACTCTAATAAGCAGGCCCGTGGTTGTCGGCGCAGGAGGTTCTTCTGCGCATGACTAACTTGCAGGCTAAGAAGCAATGTTTCTTTGCCAAACAATGATTTTATGAGGCAGGGGAGCAGACTGGACGTCTGCTGGCTAAACTGATTCAAACTCAAACTGCAGTACAAACCATTGGTTCATTGATCTCCTTGACAGGTACTTTGGTAAACACTACTTCACTATTACACTAATCTCTATTCTTCTAAATCCACATTTACTTTAGAGGCCCTGGATGAATATGTTGGAGATACCCTTACCTACACTTGCTGCTACTCATAAATCTTATTTAGGCTCTCCTGTTACAGTAGATGATCTTGTCAAGGCATTTACTTTATTACCGAATAACAAGGCTTCGAGGGAGGATGATATATAAAGTGTATGTTGAAACCATGTTACTGCAACTCCTGACGGTGTTTCAAACAGCTTATGACAGGGGCTCTCTGCCTGCCTCTATGACCAAGGCCACGGTGGTCTTGCTACTTAATCTGGACAAGATGGCCTCTGATTCTAGTTCCTATAGACCTATTACAATCTGACCTAAAGATTCTGGCCAAAGTGTTAGCGCTTCGCCTAAAGTAATTACCACTATCATAAATCCTGACCAGGCAGGTTTCATGCCACAGACATCCACCGCTGTTAATATACGCAGACTGTTGATTAATATGCAAACACCGGCTGACAATGGGGGCTCTATAGTGCTTCTGTCGCTAGATGCCACTAAAGCATTTGATAGCGTAGAATGGGATTACTTATGGCAGATTCTTGAGAGATTCGGTTTTGGCAACCGGTTTATAAAGTGGGTGAAGCTTTTATATCATTCTCCCTGTGCCGCGATTAGACAGGGCGGTGCTATTTTCTCAACTTTTCATTTGGCCAGAGGCACCCGTCAGGAATGTCCCCTTTCCCCGCTTTTGTTTGCACTGGCCATCGAGCCTTTGGTGGCACGCATTAGGGCTAGTATAGATGTAGTGTGTTTTAAAATATAGTACTCATCAAGAAAAAATATTACTATATGCCGATGATCTCTTGTTTTTGCTTGGAGACACTGGACCTTCCTTGTGTACCATTATACATAATGTTACACTGTTTGGCCATTATTCGGGACTAGTCATTAACTGGTCTAAATCGGCACTGTTGCCACTGGATGGGGTCGTGGGTCCCATGGTGTCTACTTTCTCCCCGGTGGCGATTACAACCTCCTTCAAATATTTCGGTATCCTCATCAGTGCCAATTTACTAGACTATTGTAGACTTAATGTAGCTCCTTTGTTGACTCATTTTAAAGATATGGTCAAGATATGGTCCAAATTCTGGTTATCTCTGACAGGTAGATCTAATCTTATAAAAATGATATTTATGCTCCAATTGTTATACTTTCTTCCTAATTCCCCAGTCTTGATTCCGTTGAAAACTTTTGTAATTATAAATACCATTTTTTGCTTGTTGCTTTGGAGAGGTTGTTCACCTTGGCTTTGGCTGGTCACAAGGACAGAGGGCGGATAGCGTTGCCTAACCCATGGTTGTATTACCTTGCTAGTCAGCTGCAGCATTTTTATAAAGGTATTGTGCAGGGAGGTGTTGACTCGGCTCCGGTTGATGACTCTACCCTTAAAGTGATGTTGCACTGCATTGCCTCTGGCTCTTTGCCTGAGGGTCTTGAGGCTTAATCTTTTTGTAAACTTAATAAATCCTTCCCTACATATCGCCTAATGCAAAAAATTTGGCTTAACCACTAGCCTACATGGCACTTATACCCCCTTCCTGCCCAGGTCAATTTCCAGCTTTCAGCGCTGTCGCTTTATTTTGGTGGTATTTAATCACTTTTTATTTTTTCTTAAACAAACCAAAAACCACAGAAAATTTAGAAAAAAAAGTTTTTTCTTAGTTTTTGTTATAAACTTTTGTAAATAAGTGATTTTTCTCCTTCACTGATGTGCGCTAATGAGGCTGCACTGATGGGAATTGACAGGCATCACTGATGGGCACTGAAAGGCAGCACTGATACATGGCACTGTTAGGCGACACTGACTGGCACTGTTAGGCGGCACTGACTGGCACTGATAGGTGGCACTGACAGGCACGGTTAGGCAGCACTGATGCACACTGATAGGCGGCACTGACTGGTACTGATAGGCGGCAATGACTGGCACTGATAGGTGGCACTTATTGGCATTGATAGGTGGCACTGACTGGCACTGATGGGTGACGCTGAAAGGCAGCTCAGATGGGCACTGATATGTGGCATTGATGCGCACTGGTAGGCACTGATATGTGGCATTGATGTGGCATTGATGAGCACTGACAGCTGGCACTGATAGACACTGACAGGTGGCACTGCTGGGGCTACACTGATCATCAGGGCACACTGATCATCTGTGCCCTGATGATCAGTGTACATGTCCCCTCCCCGGAAAGCCGATTACCGGCTCTCCTCTCGAGCTGTCAGCGTGACAGCTCGAGAGGAGAGAAATGCCGATAACCAGCATTTCCCGGTTTACATGTGATCAGCTGTGATCAGTTGTGATTGGACACAGCTGATCACATGACCCAGCCGACATCTTCGGCTCTTTCTGTGATTGGTGATCCGCTGTGTCCGAGGGACACAAGCACCGACGATCGCTGCGCTGCGCGCTTCCATGCATGGTGAGAATGGGAAGACGTCATGTGACGTCCTCCCAGAACGAGAGAACCACCTTGCATCTGTCATATTACTATATGGCGGGCGGGAGGTGGTTAAGGTTAAGCATTTGCAACAGATTACGTTCCATACAGTTTATAGTCCCATATGGAATAATGCGACACTACCAGAATTGGCCAAATGACAGTATATTTCTAAATGGAAAGCCTATGGTATCACTTATTTGAAGCAAATATTTAGCTATGGTCAGCTTCTCTCCTTTGATGTCTTGCAGTCCAGGTATAACCTTCCATCCACGATGCTATTTTACTATTTGCAGTTAAAACATGCAGTTACGGCTCAGGGGCCCATTGGCCCCCTGGCCCTCCTCTCCTAACCCTATTTTTAACTACTTACAATCTGCAATGGTGACCAAGGGGCTTATTTCTCATTGTTATAGCATGCGTTCGACAGATTATTTGGAAAAACACCCGAGTAGGGCCGGTGGGCATTGGCAACGATATTGGGACTTTTGAGGATGACCAGTGGGAGGCTGCCTTGCATTCCATACATCTTAATTCGTTGACGGTTTACCATCGCATGTCTCAACTATATATTCTACTTGGGGTTCATTACACTACGGCAAAATTGTACAAGATGGGGCTACATCAGGACCCCCTGTGTAGCAGATGCAAGCGGGACCATGGGGATCTAAAACATATGTTGTGGAGATGTCCAAAACTTCATAGGTATTGGGAGGAGATGGTAATTACCCTTAATTTGGTGTTCCAAACTAATTTAATTCTGAATCCTAAGCGGTGCATTTTGGATATTTTAGATTCGGTAATGCAAGATACATTTATATTAGAGGCCCTTTCCAAGGCCTTGTTCCAGACGTGCAAGGCTATTTTGGTGCGCTGGACCTCTGATACTCCCCCCACTGTTGCCGATTGGAAGCAAAATATGGGAATTATTTTATGATATGATCATTATTTTACCAGCATAGAGGATGTTCAAGTAAATTTGAGAAACTTTGGGATACTTGGTTGGCCACTCCAGGTTTAGCCCCTTTTGATCTAATAATTCATAGGCTGCTGTAGTTACTTTTGATTGCAATTTGATTATCACTTTCTCAAGACCAATTTATGTCTCTACTGTATTCCCTGGTGGGGGCAGAGTGTTCTCTGTTTCCTGCGGGTCCACTGCTATGGGGATACTCCTATTGTCCTGTATATGCAAAATTGCCTTATCTGATTGTATTGTAATGTGTTATCTCTGTAAAGTTGCACAGACTCTTGAATTCTTGTCATATGATGGCACTGGAAGGTTTTCTTTATTACGTTGTTTGGTTTGTTAATGATTCAGTGTTTGCTACCATTCTGTACATGCTTTGTCATTTTGGAAATGTATGACTTTACCATTAATAAACATTATTTCTGATTTAAAAAAAAAAAAAGCACTTACAAGATTGAAGATAAAACTCGCTCATCATAATATAAATGTGGAATTGGCTGCTCATCCTGGACAACCTTGGAACACAAGCAACACATTCGGACCACCTGTGCTGTTTTTAGCTCTACCCACTACTGTTATATAAGTTTATGTGTACATTTAAAATAAAACTAAAGGCAAAACATTTTTTTCAGTTTGGATAGAGTAAGAGAGGGTTATAACCCCTTTCCAATTGCATTTTCCTTGCATTTCTTGTCCAAAGTCAAATCAGGTAGGGACAGGAGGCAATCCTGAGGTGTCACCGGAACTAATGTCCCCATTGGAAGTTTTCCCCTCTATTACTGTTCTAGTGTCAAACCAAAATTTTTACTTTTTGCTTTCATTTGCAATGATAATGTTAAACAGGACAAACAGAGAGGGTGAATCTTCCTAATGGAGACAGCAAATAAATACCAGACAGCAATAAACATTGACAGGTGTTCTAATCCCTCCACATTTTATCCAAATCTAAAAAAAAAAGTTTTACCTTTTAGTTACACTTTAATGTATTTCATGCATGTAGTTCGCTTGTAAAATCTCCTCTTGTGTAGACATCCAAAAGCCTTGAGACTGCTGCGGGGTGCCACCATCTTGGATGTTATATCAGCACATGGCTGCCACTTCAGTAACACTCTATAGCAGTGGTTCCTAATCGTTTTTCACTTTGGTACCTTTTTGGCAGTTAATTTGTGTAATTTTTACCTCTCAACAGGGGTGTGATAGAGGGTAGAGTAGAGCGGGCGTCAGCAACCCGTAGACAATCTACCAGAAGATCATGGCCAGGTGACTGGTAGATTGCTGGCCTGCCATCCCAGAGCATCAAACAAAGTGCAATGCAGAGGGACTACTTGTAAAGTTGGAGCTGTAGTAAGGAGCAAGAACCGCATAAGCCAATGCAGTGCTGGCTCCTCTCCCATTCAGAATGATACCAACTGCACACCACCACTTATCCCGGCTAGTGGTCTCCAGGATTGTGCCAGCAGCAGGAAAGAAGAGATCTTCAGGTCAGTGTGAAGCAATACACTGGGCATTATAGTACAGGGCTGTTCTTGCACTGATACGCAGCGGTTTACCCACACCGTGGGTGCAGTGCAGTGTACCTACAGTTTTACTGCTCTTAGCCACAGACTTATATTATATATTGTGGGTTTGGTGCACTTTCTGAAACCGCACCAAGACTCCTGAATGCAGAAGTTTTGGTGCTCTTTCAGAAAGTGTACTACACCTGCAGGATTTAATAGAAGTCTATGGCAAAGCTCAGCTAACCAAGGAAAGTCACAGATGCACTGTGCTGCACCCGTGGCGTAGATGAACTGCAGCACATCAATGTGAAAGCAGCCTTATAGAGGGCTCAGGACAGTAAGGGTTCATTTACATTTGCAGCTTGGGGGGTGGTAAAACCTATTCAAGTGAATGAAGCAACTCTGCAACTGCCCTGCAACCTTGTGCAGTACAGCAAACAAGGGATTAAAGCAGGCACTGTTGTTTTGCTTTCTCACCACCTGCTTTAAACCCCTTGGACCCTGCAGAAGCATGCAGTTGCAGGTCACTTGCAGGGTGGGCCCATTTACTTGAATAGGTCGCAATTGACAGGCGTTAGCACCCACCAAAAGCAAGAGGGGGTTTGATTCCTGCTGTGGCATGTATACACCTTTTGCAACAAAGGTCTCATTCACAAGTGAAGCAGGCACTGCTGCTCCTCTGAAAAGCCATCTGAGTGCGTGTTTGACAGGTGGTGAGGAGGCAAAATGTTGATTCCTCACCACTTGATTTAAACCCATGATTGCCGTGTAATGCGCACGAATGCGACCTGGTAGTCCAGCAATTAGGGGTTTTAAATTAGGTGTGAGGAGGCGACACTGTGCCTGGTGATCTTTGATTTCTTCCATGTTGTTCAGGTAACTCTCCAACTCTTTAAGGTTGCCTACCCCTGGAGTAGAGTGTAGGGCCAAAAGCAGCACACATAGCACAGTTCAGGCACACCCACCATTTGGTGTGGCTTGCTAACAGTGAGAGGGACTTAAAGTTGAAGGAAAAAAATGTTATGTCCGTGTTAGTGGGATAAAATATTACCACTGCACCAGTTTCAGTGGGATGAAGGAGAGAACTGAGGAGCTGGAATGGGGTGTACCACATTGCAGTGTCTAGTGTTATCTTTAGGCCTATGACACTGGATTTCCTGGATCTAGGATTCTTGTGGGGTTTTCAGACTGCTGTGACTTCCCTCCATGATGGGTGTCTGGGCCACGAAAGATGCAGATGGAGTATGGGTACAGTCTGAATTCTCACTTGTATGTTGCAGCACAGAAAGGGCCGCAACAAAACTTTCAGCGCTCTCTAGAGCAGCGGTTCTCAACCTGGGGGTCGCGACCCCTTTGGGGGTCGAACGACCATTTCCCAGGGGTCGCCTAAGACCATCGGAAAACACATATTTCCGATGGTCTTAGGAACCGAGACACCGCTCCTCTATCTGTCTCAGGCGATGTGTGGGCGGGAAGATATGCTGCCCCTGTCACCTGGCCACACATCCGGGATCACTCAACAGCTCCACCTCCTCGCCGCTGATTGGCCACCGGAACTGTAGCTCAGGAGAGGCACACAGGCGGCCAATCATCGGCGAGGAGGTGGAGCTTGGAGAGGAGGAGCCGAGCGGCTGCGCGCGTAGATCAAAGAAGATCGAGGGAGCTGCCGGAGCAAGTGAAGAGGAGAGCGGCCAGAGAAGGAAGACAGCTGACAGGTAAGTGCAAATTTTGCTGCTGCAGCCAGGTATGCTGCCTGTAGATGGGAGAGGGAGAGAGAGAGAGCCCAGGCTGGAGCAGGGGTCAGCAAGGTAAGTATCATTGGTGTCAGTGGGAGGGATAGTGCCCCATCATTTGTGTCACTAATACCAACGATGAGGCACTATTTCTCCCACACATACACCAACGATGAGGCACTATTCATCCCCCCACTGACACCAACGATGGGGCACTATTCCTCCCCCCACCGACACCAACGATGGGACACTATTTCCCCCCCCCACTGACACCAATGATGGGGCACTATTCCCCCCCTGACCCCAATGATGGGGCACTATTTCCCCCTCCACCAATGATGGGGCACTATTCCTCCCACTGATACCAATGATGGGGCACTATTCCTCCCAATGATACCAATGATGGGGCACTATTCCTCCCACTGACAGCAATGATGGGGCACTATTCCTCCCACTGACACCAATGATGGGGCACTATTCCTCCCACAG